ATCTTAGAAAATTAAAGAAAAATTGTACTTGTATTATAGCTTTTTCTGTGTTTGAAACTACAGATTAGTTTTATGAAGCTGGCAGCAATAAAGGACGTTAACTGCTGTATTATATGCTGTGGAATTGAATAGCTTAAATCTTTAAAGCTTAAAACTTTTTTTTCCTCGTAAGTAATACATAAGCATTTCTATTATTAGAAGAAAAGAGAACTATTTTATATTGCATCTGGGTTAAGAGGACAGTCATTTTTACTCTATTCCATCCCACTCTATTTGGAGGCAATATGTTAGATTCTAAATTGCTAAATACAGTTGAGAGCCTGTTTCATTAGGTCACAGAATTAAGTGTATTAGGTAGTGTTAGGCTTTTGAATTAGAAAGTGCCCAACTATAAAATAAGGGGAAAAACCCCCCTGAAAAGTAGAAATAATGTATCAAAAGTTAGCTTCATTTAAAAGAAATTTATGAAGACTTTTCTAAACTGTAGGTACTCTCTTTGAATATAAAGGAAACAACATACGTCTAGTACAAGAACTAAAAGAACTGGCTTCTAACTGGGGGTAATAAAATATGCTTTAATCCATCTATTTAGAAGCATTTATCCTGATAATGCCAGAACAGAAGTCTTTTTTTTAAAAAAATAAATTTATTTTATTTATTTATTTATTTTTGGCTGCGTTGGGTCTTCGTTGTTGTGCAGGGGCTTTCTCTAGTTTCGGTAAGTGCGGGCTACTCTTCGTTGCCATGCAAGGGCTTCTCATTGTGGTGGCTTCTCTTGTTGCGGAGCACGGGCTCTAGGCGCAAAGGCTTCAGTAGCTGTGATGCGCAGGCTCAGTAGTCGTGGCTCACAGGCTTAGTTGCTCCGTGGCATGTGGGATCTTCCCGGACCAGGGATCGAATTCGTGTTCCCTGCACTGGCAGACGGATTCTTAACCACTGCACCACCAGGGAAGTTCTCATTTAAAATTTTTCAATTAAATTCACTGAAACATGATATACTATGCTCTCAGCTTGTACCTCAATCGCAATTTGTTCCATTTTCTAAGTTCATGTCTTATAATACCTTGTATAAACTGTAGATTAAGCTCTAAATAAAAAATTGTAGTGTCTAAAAAAGGAAAAAGATCATTATTCTCTGTGGAGAATGGTTTGGAGAGAGGCATGAGTAGATTTAGGAAGACTGGTTAGGAGACTGACGTAATCTAGGGAAGAGGACATGAGGATTTGAGCTAAGGTTGTGATAGAAATTCACAAACAGGAAATGAAATACAAAGTATAAAATTAAAGAAGTTGAAATCTTTAAAAAAATCTTAAATTAGAATTGGATATACTGGTAGGAACTCATGATTTTCCCCTCTCTATTTAAAAACACTTATTTCATAACTCTGTCTACTGAAAAAGCCTAGAAACATTGAGGGCCTAGAAACATTGAGGGCCTAGAAACAATGAACATTCCCAGTGCCCAGAATGACTCATTCATTCTTCATGGTGTCATTAGGCTTGGTGTATTTCTTGTTTTGCCTACAGACTGGAAGTTAGGTCTAAAGACTTGATCTGATTCAGGTTATTTATTTATTTTTTTCCAAGGATACTGCATAGGTGTTTTATTTTGTTTTTATTTGATTAATTTATTTACTTAATTTATTTTTGGCTGTGTTGGGTCTTCATTGCTGTGCGCGGGCTTTCTCTAGTTGTGTCGAGTGGGGGCTGCTCTTCGTTGCGGTGTGCAGGCTTCTCATTGCGATGGTTTCTCTTGCTGCGAAGCACAGCACCTAGGCGCGCGGGCTTCAGTAGTTGTGGCTTGCGGGCTCTAGAGCGCAGGCTCAGTAGTGTGGTGCACGGTCTTAGTTGCTCCGCAGCATGTGGGATCTTCCTGGACCAGGGCTCGAACCCATGTCCCCTGCATTGGCAGGCAGATTCTTAACCACTGAGCCACCAGGGAAGCCCTAGGTGTTGTTTTATACTTCACGTTACATCACATCAAGAGTCACATAAATCAACATAATCTAAGGTTGATTAGAGCATTTTGGTGGTTATGACCTGATATAAAGTTCTGTGATATCCTCTAACTGCTTTAGCATTCATTGGTGATTGATGCCTGAATCATTTCATCAGGGGTTACTAAATGGTGATTTCCTAACTCTTACCTTTCTTTTTTTAAAACATCTTAATTAAGGTACAACTGACATACAATAAACTGTACATTTAAAAAAGTAGAATTTGATAAGCATTTTTATACATATACACCCCCATGAAACCATCACCATAATCAAGATAGTGAACATATCCATCACCCCAAGATTTATTTTGCCCTTTTATATATTTGGAAATTTTCATAATCGAAAGTTTAAAAAAAGGGAACTATTTAAGAGCTAGATCATCTGGGCGTGGTGACTGAAGCTTGAGGCCTAATGAGAAAAGGGTCTGGAATGACTCATAGGTTTGTAATACAAGCCATTGAATAGCCACTGATATGAGCCATTTATTGAAACTGGGAACACTGGAGAAGAAACTTGGTGTATTCAGTTTTGCACATGTTAAGTTTAAGGTTACAATGAGACATTCAAGTAGAGATGTCAAGTAGGCAGGTCCTATATTAAAAGGTAACAGTTTGGACTAGGGATATAAACTTGGGAATGTTGGCATATAGTAACTGAGGCCAGGGAGCAGAAATTATCAAGAGAATAAGTACAGAACAGAACAAAGACTCAAGGGGGAAAAGACACTTTGAAAAACTCTAATGTTTTATGATCAGCTAGAAGAGGAGCAAGGGGGAAAATGAGAGTACAGTATTGCAGAAGCCAAGGGAAAATAAGGCAAGAACACATCATTTGTGCTTATCCCAGTAAGTTGCATTCTGTATAATAGTTTTACTTTTCGCTCATAACTGATACATTATGATTTATAACCAGTAAGTGTGGGCATACTCCTGAAAGATGTGTCATCTTTAGTTCATTAACAGAATTAAGTTTCTGAGTCTTGTAAGGCTGAGAACTAGACCATGGGCTCTGTAAATCAACGAAAGTAAACATTACCTTGGAGGACTCTAGATAGCTGTTTGGCTGGCGAGTTTTGCCTGGTGACCTCCAAGCCTCAGGAAGTCTTTCTTTGAAGCATTTACAGTACTAATTACTTTTTTAAAGGAGTAATATTTAAGACAAACTCTTTTGTTTTGTCTATCATTAGTCTCTCAGGATCGTAAAATAAAAGGGAAACTGGCTCATTAACAACTTCAACCTCCCCTAAAGGTGGGAATCTGGCCTTAAATTTCCTGGTGATTATCCAACCACTGCCTGTACAACATAGTGACTCTGGGTCACCGTGTGATAGGATGAGAGAAAGGGGAAAAGGGGAGTTGTTTAATGAGTCTAGAGTTCCAGATTTGAAAGATGAAAAAGTCTGAGAAACCTGTTGTACAACAATGTGAATAAACTCAACATATTGAACCCTACACTTAAAAATGAGTAGATGGTAAAGTCTATGTTATGTGTTTTTTACCACAATTAAAAAAAAAAATAAGCAGGGCTTCCCTGGTGGCGCAGTGGTTGAGAGTCCGCCTGCCGATGCAGGGGACTCGGGTTCGTGCCCCGGTCCGGGAAGATCCCACATGCCGCGGAGCGGTAGGCCCGTGAGCCACGGCCGCTGAGCCTGCGCGTCTGGAGCCTGCGCGTCTGGAGCCTGTGCTCCGCAAAGGGAGAGGCCTGCGTACCGCAAAAAACAAAAACAAAAACAAAAACAAAAACAAAAAAAATAAAAAAGTAAGCAGAGGGACTTTGCTGGTAGCACAGTGGTTAAGATTCTGTGCTCCTCATGCAGGGGGCCCGGGTTCGATCCCTGGTCAGGAACTAGATCCCACACGCATGCCACAAATAAGGAGCCCGCCTGCCGCAACTAAGACCCAGCGTGACTAAATAAAAATAAATAAATATTAAAAAAAAAAAAGGGCTTCCCTGGCGACACAGTGGTTAAGAATCCACCTGCCAATGCAGGGGATACGGGCTTGAGCCCTGGTTCGGGAAAATCCCACATGCCGCGGAGCAACTAAGCCCATGAGACACAACTACTGAGCCTGCGCTCTAGAGCCTGAGAGCCACAAATACTGAAGCCCGTGCGCCTAGAGCCCATGCTCTGCAGCAAGAGAAGCCACTGCAATGAGAAGCCCGTGCACCGCAACGAAGAGTAGACCCCGCTTGCCATAACTAGAGAAAGCCCATGCACAGCAACAAAGACCCAACGCAGCCAAAAATAAATAAATAAATAAACAAATAAATTTATTTTAAAAAATTAGAAAGCGAAAATGAAGGTCTGGAAATTTAAAGAAAAGGCAAGGGTTGTAGTGGTATTAAGAATTGAGCTAGACACTATGGAGAACAGTATGCAGGTTCCTTAAAAAACTAAAAATAGAATTACTATAAGACCCAGGAATCCTACTACTGGGCATATACCCAGAGAAAACCATAATTCAAAAAGACACATGCACCCCAATGTTCATTGCAGCACTATTTACAATAACCAGGTCATGGAAGCAACCTAAATGCCCATCGACAGACGAATGGATAAAGAAGATGTGGTACATATATACAATGGAATATTACTCAGCCATAAAAAGGAACGAAATTGGGTCATTTGTAGAGGCGTGGATGGATCTAGAGACTGTCATACAGAGTGAAGTAAGTCAGAAAGAGAAAAACAAATATCGTATATTAACGCATATATGTGGAACCTAGAAAAATGGTACAGATGAACCACTTTGCAGGGCAGAAATAGAGACACAGATGTAGAGAACAAACGTATGGACACCAAGGGGGAAAAGCAGCGGCGGGGGGTGGTGCTGTGATGAATTGGGAGAGTGGGATTGACATGTATACACTGATGTGTATAAAATGGATGACTAATAAGAACCTGCTGTATAAAAAAATAAAATAAAATTCAAAAATTCAAAAAAAAAAACCCCAAACAAAAATGAGCTAGAATAGATTCTGTGATACTAAAAAGCAAAAAAAAAACCCCACTTATTTTTAATATATTAAAAAATAGTTACATCACTGTATCTCATCTGTGCCCAAATTCATCAAATAAACATTTAGAGCTTAAATTCAAGGCACAGTGCTAAATACTGAGGACCAAAAAAAGCTTAAGAAATAGTTCTTGCCTTCAAGGAAATGGACAAGTAAGCAATTATTATAAAATATGGTAAGCAGAATTAGAGATATAGAGTACAGAGTATATAAATTACTATGGTAGAACAGATAGAACTTTCTGGAAGGAGTGGCATCTGAATTAGAAAATTCACAAATGTCATCTAAAAAGATTTCATACCACAGTCTAATCCTGAGCTTTATTAATGGTAGGATATGATAGAAAGAACTATGTTTTTTTAAAGGAGTAATTCATATCTAGAAAGGAAAGGAAAGGAAGAGGGAAAAAAATAGGGATTTGGAGGGAGGAAGACTTCCTCAATTTCCTCATCACTGCATTTTCTATTTTTAAAATTAGCTCCAAATTTTCCTGCTTCTGTGCCTTTGTCCACACCATTAACTTTAACTTGGATAATCAATCAGTATTCCTTTATATTAAAATACGTACATATAACAAACAGCGTTGACTGAACTAAACTATAAAATGCTTTTCGATTAATAACTAGAGGTGAAAATAAAACAGACATTCTCTTCTAGCATTTTGGAAGGAAACAAATTACGCTACAAATTTAGTTTTAATGAATTATAAGCGCATCTGGATTTAGGATGCGTGCCTGAGAAAGGCTGTTTTCACAAATCTTTGTTGCAGAAAGTCGTATTTTAGATGTATCCAAACGAAATAAAAGGGAAGGATGAGATTAGGGTTTTTAGGCTAACAGTAAATTTACAAGTGCATATTATTATCAGAGGCTTTTTCTGTTCTCTCACACTCAACTAATAGCCTATGATACTGTAAACTTTCAAAGAACACAGTGATTAGATAGATTCTTTTTTCATACCTACCAGGATAATCAGTGATTTGCGCATCAGTGGTGCTTCACTAGGAGGCGGGGGTGATGTGCGACCCTGAGGGACAGAGAGGGTTCTGACTGTCACAACTCGGGCTGGGGGTGCGGGTGGCTACTGTCATCTAGTGGTAGAGGCCAGAGATGCTGACAAACATCCCACAAGGCAAAGAACTGCCCCACTCCTGTCCTGAATAAAGAATTGTCCATCCTCTATGTCAACAGTGGTTGAGAAAATCTGATACATGAAAATATACTTCTTTCTTTTTCTTTTCTTCCTCTTCCATCCCTCTTCTTTCTTTTAAATTGTAACTCTTGAATGACAAATGGAGCATATTTTATGACAAGAAAAAGAGAAAATGCTACTGATTTTTTCTTACAGACTAGATATTTGGTCCATACTGCATCTGTTTTGACCAAAGTAACAAGACAGTTTCCACCAAATTATTACTTGACCAATGGAATAACGGACTTTGTACCAGATTGTATTGGTTAATAATAATATGAAATATAAGAAAAAACAGAGCCCAAAGAAAGAATCAGCAATTCATATCCACTTACATGATATCTGACCACCATTATTGGGCATATAAAATGCCTTCTAGTAGACTTCACAGATGACTATTAATTTAAAAATTGTAAGGTGTCTTGGTATTTGTGTTATGACATTTAAATTCAAAATTTATATAGTTAGAAAAATACTCACCAATATAACAACTAATCAAAATATTTATAAGCCACATGTTTAAAATGCCTTAAAGAATTACGAAACTTCCAATATTTAAATCATAATAGAGTATACAATATTTATTTTGTAACAAAATAGATAAAACCAAATATTTGCACTTTATGTAGTTTGATTATTATGATAATTTGTTAATTTAACATTCAGTTAAAATAAACTTTAAATTAGCTATTTAAAAAATGTCAAGTACATGATTAAGATAAATTTTGTTCATCAGAAAAAGACCTTCAGGAGTAAATAATGATAGAGCAAATCTATCCAAAACACTACGTCTTCATTTTTTGTGTCTTAGACCACTCAGGTGCTTCTTTTTTGGTCTGTAAAAAAAAGGAAAAAAAAAAAAAGAAGAAGAAGAAAAGAAAATTAAGTAAAATGCTTATAAGGAGGAGAAGAGAAACAATTCAAAGAACTAAGTACCTATATACATTGGGGATTTTTATGTAAAATTATAGTAAATAATTGCTTTTTGTAATTCAGAAAGAGACTTAAGGGCAAAGATTTTGTCTTTTGTCAGAAATAATCTCCCACCTGGTATTAAATAAAATAAATACACAGCTGTGTTTTCTGGCTTAAATCCGATATTTAATACACAGCTGTGTTTTCTGGCTTAAATCCGATATTTAATGTATTCTACAGAGGCGAATATTTTATGAATTGATTCTATTTTCAAATAAAATTATAAAAAAATCAAGGGCACAGCTTCTTTTTAGTTGTCTTATCTATCTACATACAGATACTCATTCACTCAATAGATATTTAGTAAAGAATTTCTAGATCCAAATCATTGTGCTTTGGGTATTCTGCATTGCTAAGTATTTATCAGAGTACTTCTTGGGTTTACTGCTCAATCATTTCAATGTAAAAGAGCCTGGCTATACAGAGTAGTAACAAAAGAGCAGGGAAGGTGGTCTGTGATAAAGCACTTAGAACTCCCTATATAAGATACTGATGCCAATCAAAACATCTTATTTTATATAATATAATAAATCAAACATGCAATTACTCCTTTCCCACTTATATCTCCTTAAAACTATGAAGAACCACATTCCTAAATACATATACATTGGCATATAGATAAGTAAGATAAGTTATGACAATTTTATCTTTTTCATATGCCATAGCTGATGCACAAAATGTCAGAAGTGACATCAATGGTCAGCTCCTCTTGCCCTTAGCCATGCCCTTGGGCAGCTTCAATTACCACCAAATACACCAGTAGACCCTCCACCTCCTTCCTCCAGCCCCATCTGTATAACCATAGCTCTAACTTGAGCTACAAATACTTTTACATGATGCCTAAAGGCAAGTAAAATTCAGTATGTCAAAATGAACTCCCCCAATCGCCATATTGTCTGCCTTGGTGAATGGTACCATATTTTGTTCAGTCATCTAAACCAGAAATGATTGATTCCTCTTCATCTTAGATTTCTCCTTTTTTTTTTTCCACTTGCTACGTTCATTCTAAACAGTCCCTAACATTTGTAGAAATATCTTTTAAACTCCTTATTCTGCTTCTATCTTGACCCCAAAAGGCTTACCTTGGGCCCTCATCATTTCTGGGCTTCACTCCCGCAAGAATTTCCTAATTCTGATTTGGCTTTTTCTTCTATTATGTTCATAACCTACAATCCCTCCAAGCTTATCTTTCTAAAATGCAAATCTGCATTAAAACACTTTAGTAGTTTTTCTTTAATAGAAAGTCCAAAGTTATTAGTATTAAAGGTGAAAGAAGCTTCCAGGGTAAAATAAGGAAATCATAGGGAAAAGCCAGGTGCTATCTTCCAAGAGAATTCAAAGGTGACAGGGCCTAACCAAATCCAAAAGAAACCAGAGTACAAACCAGAATGCTAGCTGATCTGCCAGGGGAGGGGTAAGTTCCATTTTGAGAAACTGTGATCTTCACTAGGTCATAATGTAAACTGGTTTTCTTAACTGTGGCTCGTGGACAAAAAAATATGAAAGCAACTTCTACAGATCAAGCAAAAGGCACAGAATTTGTATATCTGCATTTTCTCAATCAACTGATACTAAAAGTTCTTTTACTACTATGTATGTATAGTAGAAGGTAAATAAAACTTTTGATATTAGAAGGGAATCTTAAGACTCATAAAGGACAGTACAAGCATTTTAATGGTAGACTGTCCTTCCTGACTACTTCAATCTGTGTCTGGTCCATTACAGACCATCCGCCCTCCATCCCCTCCTCCCAGTAACTTCTTTCTTCAGATGTATTAATGAAGTAGCTTTGCCACAGTCGAGTGTACCTCTGTCCTGGGGATTAACTGCTTTCCCACTTCATAAATTGACTTTTCAGTTTTTTGGTCATAGCCATTTAAAATTAGTTTCACAGCTTGTCCCATAGGTCTAATGTATATTCCTTATTCCTAGGTTATTTGGCGGGAGCTTCACTATCATTGTCATGTCCAAGCTACATTTAATTTAGAAGATAGGGCCCTGTAGGATCTGGTCCAGGCCTACTTCTCTAACCCTATCTCTTGACACTCTACTACATGAACTAAATTACTTGTAGTTGAGATTAGTTTTATAGTAATTTATTGAACACCTACTATGTATCAGGTCTTTGTGTTAGGTTGTACGGCTATAAAAATGAGTAAGACCCTATGACAGAGCCTGGTGGTTGCCTAGATTACCTCTATTTTTCCCCTTTCAATAACAGAACTCTGATGTCATTATGAGAGTAATGGGCTCATCCAGTGAAAAACTACATTTATCAGCCTCCCTTGCTGCTAGGTGTGGACGAGTGACTAAATTCTGACCAATGGAATACAAATAGAAGATGTTGGGTAGAACTTATAGAAAAATGCCTTTAGAATAGGAGATGGTATTTCCCCCCATTTCCTCTTGCTTCCTGCTTGGAATGCAGATGTGATGGCTTAGGCTACAGCAGCTATATTGTGATTCTGAGGACAGAGGCCACACACCAAGGATGGTTTGAAGAGTAAGGCAGAAGAAACCTAGGTCCTTGATGACTTCAAAGGGCCACATACTAGCCCTGAAAAGCTTATCTTCAGGCTTTTATCTGAGAGCCAGAACAATCTACTTAAGTCACTGAACTAGCAGTGGAACGTAATTCCTAGACACTGACTCTAATCCTTAAGTTATAGCATTTGTTTCATGTTGTATTTTCTGCACACAGGAAAAGTATCTGGCATGCAGTAGGTGCTCAATGACATGCTTCTTTTGTTGATTTTTTTTTTTTTTTTGTAGCTGGAGCACAGTACAGAATAATGGGTTAAAGTACAGGCTCTGGAATAAAACAGGCTCCAGCCATTTATTTGTAAACTCGGGCAAGTTGATGACCAGTTACTTCACACATAACATGAGGAGAATAAAAAATAACGGTGATGGATATTCTGGGTGCCCTCAGACCTGCTGTGCCTCAGGATGCTGTCAGTGGTGGCTTATGGTTTCTGATTAGGTTCAGTTAATGAGCTGCAAAGTGGGCTTGTGGGTCAGAGGAGAAAGAAGTTGGGATATCTATTCTTCAGCTCCTTCTTTGCCTGGCCATAGTTTGGTAGTAGTAAATTCTTCTATGGAAGACCAAAGTTTCCTACGAAGGCTCTCATTCCTCTCCTTGCCCCTTGAGACCTAGGAGTGTTTATAACTTTGCATAGTTACTAAGCCTAAAATGTTCATTATCGCCTGTTGGTTTCTACCTCCTTGTTTCTCCTATAGAGGTGTTTCTCACTCCCTCCAATTTATCCCTCCATCTGCCTCGTCTTTCTCCTCCACCACCACCTTTGCTACCTTCTTAATTTCTGTCTGAATTGATATCAAAGTCTGTTGGCTCTTTCTTTCCATTCCTCTAGTTCATCTTTCACTGTTGCTGTCCAGGTCTGAAAATACAAACGTGACCCTCACAGTATTTTTTACTTGCTTCCTATTTGGTATTTATCACACATGTTATATGACACATGTCACACATGTCATATATGACACATGACACATGTTTCCATGATCAGACTCTGAGGCACTCTAGGGCAGGGGCCCTGGGCATGGAATAAGGCTTGAATAAATGAATAGCTTCAAAAGAATGTGCCACAGACTCAAAAGATAATTCCATAAGAGGTACTGCAAAATGCTTTGAGATATAGTGTGGAAGAACCTTGAGGATGTTATGCTAAGTGAAATAAGCCAGTCACAAAAAGACAAGTATGGTATGCTGCCACCTATGAGGTATACAAAACAGTCAATTTCATAGCAATTCAAAGTAGAGTGGTGGGTTGCCAGGGGCTACAGAGGTGGGGGTGGGGAAGAAGGGAGGCATTGCTCGATGGATACAGAGTTCCAGTTTGCAAGATGAAAAAGTTCTGAAGACCTGTCTCACAACAATATGAATATACTTAATACTACTAAACTGTACACTTAAAAATGGGTAAAATGGTAAACTGTATATGTTTTTTATCACAATAAAAAACAAACAAAAATACCAAGAGCTTTTTAAAAAATGTTTTGAAAAAATGCAGCAATACTGAAAAAGTGTATTGTTTCCAATGTGAGCTACCTGGACTTCGCTGTTAAAGAAAGTTACATATTTTATTAGATATTTTACACTCTAAAATAGAAAAAACAAAGAGAGTGGTAGGACCTCATTTCCTACATATTTAATAGCAAAGCAAGTTTCCATCGGAATCTATTTTTACCTGGGTATACTGCCATTTAAAATTTCCTTAGTTTTAAGATAATGATGAGATCTAGCAAAATTCAGCTGCTCAAAAACCTTGAGCATTTGGTTTTACTTCTTTCGGGCCTTTATTTAAGTGCCGTCTTCGCAGAGAGGCCATCCCTCCCTATTCTCCACCCACCGACTGCCCTGTTTTATTTTTTCTCCATAGCATTTGTCATTTTTTCACTTTCTCTACAATTTATTTTTTGGTTTGTTTGTTGCTTTACAGTCTAATCTCCAAAAAAGAATGTAAGTTTCATGGAGGCAGGAAGTTTTATACCTTTATTGCCTCTAACAGTGCTTGGCACAAAGGAGGTGCTCAATAAACATTTCGTTTTTTTTTTTTTTTGGTGGCCATGCCATGCGGCTTGCAGGATCTTAGTTTCCCAACTAGGGATTGAACCTAGCACACCACAGTGAAAGTGCCGAGTCCTAACCACTGGACTGCCAGGGAACTCCCAATAAACTTACGCGGGCCTCTCACTGCTGTGGCCTCTCCCGTTGCGGAGCACAGGCTCCAGACGCGCAGGCTCAGCGGCCATGGCTCATGGGCCCAGCCGCTCCGCGGCATGTGGGATCTTCCCAGACCGGGGCACGAACCCGCGTCCCCTGCATCGGCAGGCAGACTCT